AATGAAAAATCATTAGAGAAATGTACAAAATACACATTAGTGTAAATTAGTTGTAAAATATTCATTCTTTTCAAATGTGGTGATAGGAAAATGATATTATTATTATCAACACTGAACAACCCAATGGATTCATAGCACTTTTATAAAAAAGTATTCTTCAGGAGCTGGCCGAGTGGCCAAGTGGTCAAAGTTCTGCCCACTCCACTTCAGTGGCCGGGGTTCCCAGGTTCAGATCCTGGGCACAGACCTACTCCACTCATCAGCCATGCTGTGGAGGCGTCCCACATACAAAGTGGAGGAGGACTGGCATGGATGTTAGCTCAGGGCTAGTCTTCCTCAAGTGAAAAAAAAAAAAACAAACAGGAAGATTGGCAATGGATGTTAGCTCAGGGTGAATCTTCCTCACCGAAAAGAAAAAAAGTATTCTTCAGTTATGCAAACAAAATGAATAAGAAGTGTGGAAAGATAAAAGAGGGAAAATTGTCAATGATAGTAGCATGCTGTGTTATTCTTTTGCATTTAATTAATATAAGAAAATGCATATATACAGAGTAAACTGTATTTCCTTGTATGTAACATAAAACATATAATGACAGAAAGGCAATTTGAAAACTTAAAATGTGTAAAACAGATTCTTACTTCATGTAATAGCATTATGGTAAAAACGCTTTTGCTTAAAAGGCAATTTTATTTTGCATTCTGTTCTTGAAAGGTAATTATATCAACATCATACGATAAATAATGATTGACAACATACTCTAATACTTTCAATAATATAGTCAGCTTTTGATGAGCCTTGGTATTTGATATAATGGCAATCCAAAACCAAATAAAATCTCAAAGTGGTTATATTTGAATACGGGGCTTCACCTTCTCATTTACCTTCTGATTGATTGATTCAACAAGTATTCAAGTGCCGACTTGATGCAGAATACTGTGCTTGGAGCCCTAAAGGTATTGTGGTCTCAGTAGGGAGATGAGGCAGTGTATCTGTTACCTACTGAGTGGGTGAGCACACACCAAAACTTAGTGACTTCAAACAACCACCACCATTTATTTGCTCACAATTCTTCAGTTTAGGCAGAGCTTGATGGAGACTGCTCAGATTCTGTTTCACAGGCTGTTGGCTGAGGCAGCATGGCTAATATCCACAAAGGCCTCACTCACTTTTATGGCATCTCAGCTGAATTGACTAGAACAGCTGGGAGCTGGCGGGGCTCTCCGTAGTCTCTCATTTAGGGCATCTCTGTCTCTCTGTCTCTCTCCGCCTGCTCCTACCTGGCCTCCCGTCTCTAGCCGGACAGTGTCTCAGGGCTCCAAATGAGCAAAATGGAAGTTGCCAGGCCTCTTGAAGCCTCCTCCTGGAATTGGCACAGTATCATGTCCTCTGCATTCTGTTAGTCAAAAAGTCACAGGACTAACCTGGATTCAAGGAGGAAAAATAGATTTACACCTTTTGGTTAGAGGAGTGGCATATGTGCACAAGGATAGGAGAACTTGTTTGTGGCCATCTTCACAGACAGGCAGAACAAATAATTATTGTCCAAGGTAGAGGATAGGAAATATCATTAAAAGACAGAGTCAGAGAAACTTCATGGAAGAGGTCACATTTGAGCCTGGTCTTGAGTCATGGGGTAGTTATATGGAGACGAGAGGACATTTCAGGTAAAAGGAACGATATGTGCAAGGGCTCAAAATTAGTTTTACACTGGATTTTATTAAATTAGTTTAAGGCACCTGCCAAATAATTTTAAAGAAGGGGAGAGGGAAGTAATTCTCAAACTGCAAATTAATAAAAGGAAACCACCAGAAAAGGCACCATTGCTCAGTTGGCAAATGGACTCAGCACAGAGCACATATTAATGTTGATGTTCTTTATATTTTAGTACCTGAGATCTATACATTTTGCATGGGTAAATGGAATACTCACATTTAGCTAACTGGTAATTTTGAATCTGGGGGTATTTTTCTTAAGAGTGCTTACTGTATATTGGGTACTATTCTTAGAACCGGAGCTACATCAATGAACAAAACAGGTAAAATCACTGCCCCTGTGGAGTTGACTTTCCTAGTTCACGGAGACAGACACTCATCAATGAGCATAAATAACTCAACTATATATTAAGTTAGAAGGTGAGAAGGACTACAGAAAAAAACCAGAGCAGCCAAAGGGATAGGGACTGCTAGAGAAGGAGTTGCAATTTTAAAAAAAGTGATCAAAGCAGGCCACATTGAGAAGATGACATCTGAGCAAGGAGGAAAGAGAGTGGGCTAACTGATATCCAAAGGAAGAGTGTTCTGGATAAAAGGAACAGCTAGTGCAAAGGCACTAAGACAGGAGCCTTTTGAACAGGATTCCTGTTCGAGGAATAGCAAGGAGGCCAGTGTGGCTGAGGCAAAATGAGCACAGAGGAGAGTGGACAGTAGATAGGGTTAGAGAGGAAAGGAGGGGAGGGACTTTGACTTTTACTCTGAGAGAAATGAGGATTCACCAGAGGGTTTTGAACAAAGGCAGACTGTGATCTGACTTTCCGGGCTAACAGGACTACGTAGCTTTGTTGGTAATACACTGAATAGGAGTCTAAGGGTGGAAACGGGGAAACAGGAGTGCTAACAACGGAGGTGATAAAAACAGAGATTCCAGATATATTTTGAAGGTTGTGTCACAGGATTTCCTAATATAACTTCAGTAACTTAGGTAACCCGAAGTAGTTTTATTCAGGACCTTGTTATAGGGGTTTTCCAAAGTACTAGTAATTATAAAACTTTAGTAATACATTTCACATGGCTAATAATTTAAATTTTCACTTGTTGTATTGTTAGTATTTTTGCTAATAAAACAGCCTATTAGCTTTTCTTCACATTCAGACATCTATTCAATGACTTGTCTGTATGTAGATTTCATTTGTATGTAGATTTTGGTTTTTATAGTTAAAGGTTTTGTCAAAGTTTTCTTTCCTTATACTTAGTAAAGAAAATAGAAGAGCATTGCAATGTTTCATTCCTTCTAGAAAAATTTAGATTATTTAATTACCTGTTTCATTCTAGCCAAGAATATTCTCATTTTCTCTCCCTCCCTCTTTCTCTCCCTCTCTTCTCTCTCTCTCATAATTCTTGGCATATGATCCTAAAGCATTAGGTTTCTCAAAGGTCCTAGCATTATATTGATGAATAATACTTTTTTCTTTACCTGGTAGGCAATTCTTTTTGAAATCATAAATTAGTCTAAGAATGTTTGATTTTGTCAAGTTAGATTTGAGTATGTGGTGCCACATGACCTCTAGTGGAAACTACTTGCTTTGGAGAAGGAGTTTCACATGAAATTGCATAAAAAGTAATTGTATAATCCTTTGAAATTCGAAGGGGTGTGCCATCATAGTACAGGGTCTCCCAGCAGCCACACGAGTGACATTTTGGACCAGGTAGTCTGTTGTGGGAGGCTGTCCTATGTGTTGTAGGATGCTTAGCAGCATCCTAGCCTCTAACCACTAGATGCCAATAGCATTTCCCCCCACTTGTGACAAAATGTCTCCAGACATTGCCAAAGGTCCCCTGGGGTGCAAAAGTCGCCCCTGGTTAAGACCCACTGTCATAGTATAATGTTATAATTCTCATGTTTTGCCTCCCTACAGGTATTAATTAAGGCATGCATGCAAATTTCTTTTTTTTTCCTGTTATCTTCTTCTTCCCTTTTATTCCTCTTTTTCTTGTGAAAGGATGTGAAAACTTCCATTATGTTTCAGTGTTTTTCTCTTTTCTTTCTCTAACCCCTAAATTAAAAGTACTATACTTTAGAAAGAAATAGCACAGTTGTCAAGGTAAATGCAACTCCTGGCTCCTTGCCTTCCTTCATTGGCTTTGTTAAGTACTGAGAGTTGGTGGAATTTTCTTGTCTCTCCTAACTCCTGGAAACAGCCTCACAATGTAACGGGGCGTGGAGAGACCAAGCAATCCTTAGACGTTTCTGTGGCTCTGACCTACTGGTGTACAATTTTAATAACTGAAGTTGAAGTTAAGCAGCTTCTCCGAATGCAAACTGCTCTACACACAGTCACTTTCTATTCTGAGTGGGGCCTGTGCCCGGGAAGTTTGGGGGCTCAGTTAGTTCTCAGAACTGTGCAAAACCCCACTCACACAGACACTGAGCCAGAAGCCTCCACCCAAGCGTTTCTGTGTGCTTCCTTTTAATGGCTTTCCTTGTTAATCCGGGAACACGCCTGGCTGCTCTTTCGTCCCCTTCTGGTCTCAGTTCTCCTTTCACCTGCATGGGGCCAGACTTGATTCTGTAAGGTATTCATCACATTACACTAGTTGCAGGAGCCTTGTGAATTTCTTATAGTATTTCTTCCTCTATTGCTCTTGGTCGCTGACATTTCTTTCACATCTGTTACCACAACTCCCAAAAGTCCCTCAGGTTATATAAAGAAATTGAAATTTTCATTAAGATGAAAGCTTATTTATTTTATTCTTTATTAGAAGAAGCACACCAGTTAATCTTCTGTATTACTTTTGTAAGGTTGTTGAACATAATGTGCATGTTCGGCTTGACTATGGAGTTTTAATAATTGTACTTAGAAAAATTGTATGAATTATAAGATGATCTTAAATTTATCTTGTATTTCTAACTGCTGTGCTTTTCTTCTTCTACCTCACCCTTCCCCTAAAAAAAATTAATTCTGATTTCAAAAGGAAAGAGTGATTCTTTCTTTTCTTTATTAGATGTAAATACTTTCACTGCTTCTCTCCTTCTGAGCCAGGGGTAGCAAGCATTTATGATATAGCTAAAGATTTTTTTCTATCAGGGTTTTATAACTCTTCCCACTGATATCAGTTCAATTTGAATTTGGGGGCAGTCAGAGGAAGATCTATGGCATTAGGCTGCATGATTGAAATGCTTAGCAAATTGCCAGTGTCCCTCTGTGCTCCCTTTGTGGTTTGCCAAGCAAGATTTCCTTTCAGCTTATCTTCCCACATTTGTTCTTAACAACTCCCACCCTGCAGACAGCAAGACCAGGGCTCAGCTGCAGCGGTCCTTTCCAAATCAGAACAGGATTGATGTTTTCCTCTTGTACCCGTGGAGTAGGAACTCACTTCTAGGTTGAGTAGCTGTCCTTAATTTTGCTTGTCTAGTCTTAATGGTTTGTGTTCCTGATTAATAGTTTGAAAGCTGCCTCAATGAGAATGTGTCTTTGGGAAGAATAAAAGAGGAAATAAACATTTGTCATGCCTGTTTTCTAGAATTAAGATCTTGTTGGCCTATAAATCAAAATTGTGGATTTCTGAAATTGTGTTTGACTATAACTCACAGATGCATTAAAAAAGACTGTCTTTCTGAAATGCACACTTTAAAATTAGGGTTAATTTAGGAAGTGATATTTCATATAAGATATTTACTGTGACATTAAATAGCCAGTTCTTCAATTACACAAAAAATTCAACATGACTTAGAATCGCCTGTTCAGGAAGGCATCTATGATATAAAGATAAACATGGTGCTGAGAAGCTCAGTGTACCGTTCAGTCCAGAGAATTAAAGTGGGGTTTTCTATCAGAATGAGTCACTTGAAGAGAAATTACATACCTCCTTTCCTGCCTTTTTTAAATGTAGGAAACTCTACTTTGGTAATATCTTTTATCTTTTAATTTAAAATTAGTGGCGATGAAAAGTGATTTTTTTAAGTAATGGTTTTTAGAAGTCATAGATATTTTTAAAACTCCTAAGTGCAGTGAGATTTCATACAGTATAGCTTATGTTAAATGCAAACTATTGATCATCTTCTCAGTTCCTCTTAGTCTAATGAGTTTTGGTTTAAAACTTGTATAAGAATAAAACTAGCGATAGAACCGTGGAGGAAGCTGGTGTCTCAGGAGCTGTCCTGGTCCACTCTGGGTCATTCTGTGATTCTCATGTCTATGAAGTTACTAGATTGGACACCTCTGTTTACAGCCAGCACTTAGGGAGTCACGTGGAGTTCCCAGGTCTACCTTTTTCTCTGCAAATTAATCAGCCAGACCCAGATTGCTGTAAGAGAATGGATAGACACTGTACATATCGGAAGCCAGCGTAGGTTTTTTTCAGACTTTTTTCTGAACATTTTCTTCTCTCAGTTAAGCATTGAAGTAAACAAGGAGAAAAAAATACTTACTGTTTGTTTTCTGTTCTTTTTTAATGAAAATTACTCAGATGTAATGGAAAAATCTTTAGTGATTTTGAACACAAAGCTCTTGGGGAATTGGTACAGTGAATTGTTTCTACATTTTTAATTCCGGAAAAAAACATGCTATGAGATTAAAGATTTGGAAGCACTTTGTGAACTTACTTTAAACTTCTTCTTGAGCACTGAAGAAATTACCATGGCGAGAATAAATGAGTCTGTAAGCAGTCTCTAACGAAGTAGCAGGTTACAGTTCACATTTATTCAACTTCAGTTTTATTCACTTGTTTTTGTTTGGTTCTTATCAGAGCAGAGAATGCCAGTACCATGGGAGGAGAAATAGAAAATGGACTATAGTTCCAAAGGTGCTTATGATCTCTTTTAGGAAGACAAAACACACATTTTTTAAATTATAATGTATATAATGCAGAATATAGATTCCAGGATTACATGAAAGAAAGAAATGACCATCAAGAAATGCTTACTCTTTAAATATTTACTTAGATATTGGAGAAAATTTGGGCAACTTACTTAACTGTGCCCTTCATTTTTTTCATCAGTAAATTGGCATATTTTAGGATTGTGATGATTAAAACAATACACGTAAAGCATATAAGCAGAGTGCCTAGTAAATGATAGCTACTCATAAAAAGTAACATCATCTGATTTAATAATAGTACCTATGAATTACGTAGTATTTTTCTATTCTACAAATGAAGAAATTAACACTTAAAGAGGGTAAGTAATTTGCCTGAGATTGTTCGGCTAAGTAAGAGGTAGAGCCTGGGAGTGAACCCAGGGAATCTAACTGCAGAGACCATCTCTCAACGCCCATACTATTATACTGCCTTATTAGTCATTTATTTCACAAAAAGTAATTGAACATATCTACATGCCAGGTACTGTTTGTCATTAATAACATTATTTATATTGAATACAGAGGAAAATATGCAAAATGTGGTGGAGATCGGCATTTAATGCATTGTTTTAGCTTTTTATTTTGACAACACCTAGTCCAAATATTTAAGCATATTTATAAATAACATCTGTTTAATAAATATTAGAATGAATGAATATTGCTTCTCCCAGTAACATGAGCCAGATAATACCAAATGAATAATGTGTTTATACAACCTTGGATTTTTACCTGTTCATTTAGATGGGACTTACTTGAGGAAATTTCTTATTCACTTTTTTTTTACTCATTTTTAAAGTTCCCAACAAGACATTAACCGTAGATGGACCTTTGTATTCTAACAACTAGAAAGCAGAAGTCATAAACAATTTGCTTTTTTATCCTACAGTCGTGAAATACTGTGCTCTGAATAGAAGCATCCGCGATTGAGTTCAAACAGAAAATGGTCTGTGGGTTTCAGAAGCAGTGGGATCCTTTCAATATGCTTGATTTTTGCCTCTGAAAGTCTCTGCCATCTCAGCTTTCAGTATAAGTAGAACTGTAAAGTGATGTATATGATTATTTATTTATTTATGTATTTGTTAAAGCCAAAGAGGCTTTCTCGGTGCCTGTTATTAACCAAGCTATGACCTGGTAATCATGTAGTTTAGTGTCCCTAATAGAGTCATATGAACACTTTTCTATTTGGTGGTGGTTTCCATTCAGAAGTCAGCCATCAGATTGTGTATGGGGTGAATCAGATTTTGTAAAGAGATTATATAGTGTCTTCTTGAATGTTTTGTCTAAAAAAAGAAATATGATGGGGTCTGTGCTACTTCTGGCTGATGCAAGACAGGTGAGGATGTTTTTTATTTCGATTAAATAATTCAGTTGCTGACAGTCCTCTCTTTGGTGTAGAACATAAAAAATGGGTTTAAAAATGCTATAAGGAAGGAAGCAAACTATTAGTAGACTCTGGATGACCAAAAGATGCCTTTTCACAGAACTGTAAGTCAAATCTTTCTCCGTAATGGACGTACAGGTCCTTATTTTTCTCAGATGGCTGACAAAAGAGTAGTATGATGTTAATACGACTAAAAATGAAAATCCAATAAATGTGGTTCCAATGAGGCCTGCAATCTGAGAGATCACGGCTCCCAGTTCCATCTGCCGATTGTAGCACAGGGTCTCTTCTCCTTCTGTAGCCTCTACAGCTGAGTAGTATATGATAACTGGAATAATTAGGCCTAGTACAACTCCCCATATGTAAACGCATAGTTTTCTAGCAAAGTTGGGCTGGCGAAATTTTTTCAGTAATTGGCCATAAAATACCTTCTCATAGCATGAACTGGTCTCTTGCATGGAATCCTTTTTCATCAAGGTAGCATAGCGGCTTATGGCGATCCAACTTAAAATTAAGAGGCTGACAAACATACTTACATGCATGGATAGAGTTCCCAAAAAATTGACCACCCTGCATTGTGCAGATCGATATTCCCACTGAAAACCTTTCAGGAAATAGATACCCATGAAAGGCATAGCACTGCACACAAGTAAGTTTGCGGTCACAAGATGTGCTAGGTAGATGTGCGTTGATGTTTTCTTACCTATTTTTGTTAAAAATACCCATTGAGAGAGAGAATTTCCAAAGAGACCAATGATACAGAGGAAGGTATAAATAATTGGCAAAGCCATGGAGGAGATCATGGATGGATGAATGCATGTTGTGTTGTTACTCATTTATATCAGATTTTCTTGAATTTTGTCACAGGAGCTGGAAGAGAATTGCAGATATTTAATATTAAAGTTTTAGATGGTATTTAAGCTGAATAGTTCTTTTAAAGAAAGCATTGGGTGAAATAAAATAGTAACATAAATGTATTGGATAGAAAGAAAGTATAGATACCTTCTCACCTTTTCTAATCAGGATTATCCAGTTGAAATAAAAGCAAAAAGTTGATTATTGTGGATAGTGCCTTTGTCTAAAAAACAAAATTTGGTGTAAATAGTTAAATGCCTGAGATTTGTCATTTTATACCTGAGGAATTTATAGTTCTTGTATTAGATTACAGAGCAATTTGTAAACGATGATTAATTTTTGCCTAGAAAGATAATTAAAAAAAATTCAAGGCACATGCAAGCAATACGTACTGGCCAAAGGAAAGTGTTACAAAAAGTATTTTGTGGCCACATTAATAGAAGACTGATTTTTAATTATCACCTTAATTGCACATAAATACTTTTCAAAGTGTTATCTTTTCATGGCTAAGTTAAAGCACTTCTCTATAATCTACTATTAGAAGAGTCTCTTTTCATATTTCAGAAGTAAATTTAATTCCACATAAACAAATACCGAGTCAAGATCCTAAATTGAACAGAAGGAAAGTGTAGTGACGAAGGATAGACACCAAAATCCCAGGATCTTTACCAAAGGGTATCAATAATTTCTTATTTCAAATATTTAATGCTAAATTATCATACTTCAATAAAAAATTTACTTTAAAATTCTATGTCAAAACTAGTTGCTATGCTTATTGGTTAGAGCGCCCTCATGTGTCCTCGTGTGTAATTTAGTATCTTGGTTTTTCGAAGAATAAGATTTCTTTTAGAAGATATTTTAATCACAGCATAAATGCGAGGTGTGGTTTTTGCTTTTTTATGCCTTTAAATCTTTCTTGCTTCAAAGGGTACGCATGAAATATCGAAGAGTCATACAAACTTCTTTTCATTCTTATTTTTTCCTTTCCTTATTTCTTTCAGGTGGGACTAACAAAGAAAAGTTATTGGATTCTGGTCAAATAAGAATCATGAGCTCTATTCAGAATGTGCCGCATTTCTCTGAGTTTTTCACCATAGCTTTCTAGATTTTTATAATCTAGAGTAAGGATTCTCAATCTTCTTTTTTTAATCACATTCTCTTTTTTGATAGACACAAAAATTTTAGCATATGCTGTCTTCTGAGATTCTTATATGCTGTCAGCCCCTCAGGGCTATTTTACTCTTTACTGTTCTTAAAAATTACGGTTATATTTTTTGCATCTTGGCTTAAAGAAATAGGGATTTTTTTTTCCAAACACACTATTATAATTTTGAAATAATTTTTTAAACCAAGCGATCTCCACCTAAAGACTTGAAAGCTTGAGGGCTGTGCAGTGTCTCTGGATTCAATTACGGAAACCTTTAATTAATGTCTACCAGTGTCATTATCATTTGCAATTTTTCTTTAGAAAACAGTCCATATGCTACAGAGTTAGTTTGTATCTGAATCCAGTGCAGTCTGACCAATTGGAATCTGGTTGCAGTTAGTGAATATCCAGTTGTAAATATATAAAACCTAATCTGTAACTTGACTGATTTAAAAATTAGTCAAAGAGACAGTGAAATAACCCAGTTTATTTCCTAGGAAAATTTAGCTGATTAAAGTAGATTTTTATTTTACGTAAGGAATGGAGCTTCCTTTTATGATGAGATTAAAGAAAAACACTAGCCCCCGCCTTGTGTAGTTAATGCATTATATACTAAAATCTGTAAAGGTAATAGTGCTTCTGTATTAATAGATAGTATTCCTTTTTGTTTTAAACCAGACCACTTCATACAGCATCTGCTGTCTCATATTACTCATTACCATTGCCTTGTTTTTCTATTTCACACTAGCAAATGCTCTAGAACAGAAGAGAAATAAAAAAGACTTTGACAGAGGCTAGCTTTATGTGACAGATGACATTGAGACTCTGTAGGAACTTTACTGTAACAAATGACTAGTTCGCCATCTTTAGCTTCCCAAACATCAAACTTGTATCTGCTATATACCTCTCCTTTAAAAATAATCTTTGATTATAAAACTACTAGATAATTATTGTCTAAAATTTGGGAAGTACTGTAAAGCTTAAGAAACCAAAAATCACACGTTATGTCTGCAGAATTGCTCCCCAGAAAATGTCTGCAAGTCTGCATTTCCCTGAGCAGAATGTCTGTCTTGAGTCACTCATGCACATATTGTGTCTGCTAATTTGACAAACACAAAAAGTTCTACAGCTCTAACTTGAGTCACTAATGATTATCTACATAATTAATATGCTGACTACCTTTCTTAATGATCAGTTTTCAAAATTTAAACATTTTCACCCTGTTAGAGTTTTTATAGAGTTAACTTTTAAGCTAAGAGTAAGTGATCAGTCTTACCTGTAGGAGTAGTTTATGCCATCCAAGGCTCTGTTGTTCCCAGGCAGCGATGCTAAATTTCAAGTTTAAAATTCTCTGCTTGTCACTTTTCCAGTATCTTTCAGTTTTAGTCAGTGTGAATAGATTCTTGCATGACACCAACAACAGTGGGGGGAAAAGGAAGTTAAACAGAGTATTGAAGAAATTTAATAGTTATGGTAAATGTAGCAGTTACCTCCTCAAAAAAAAAACACTTCATTTCTCTATTTCTGTAGCGGGAGGAAGTTGGTAGATGATATATACACTCTACTTCCTTATGATTATTTCATGAACCAATTACATCTCAGTTAGCTTTATTAGCATGCTTGGCTGAAGTTAAGGGTAAAGGTTTAACTCCCATGGCTAGTTAGTTTTATGTAACACAGTGGTAGAGGGAACCACTCCATAGTGTAGGGGAGGAAGACATTTCCTCTACCCGCTCTGGGTTCTTCTGGCTGGAGAACAAATTAAATTCACATGAGACAGAATAACAGGAGAAAATTAAACAAAGCTTTATAACATGTATACATGGGAGAGGCTCAGGCAACCTGAGCAACTCGCCAAAATGGCTGTAGCCACTACCTTAAATATCATCTTCAGCTAAAGACAAAGGAGGATGTTGGGAGTGGAGGGGGAGTCGATCATGGGAGATTACCACACAAGTACAGTGAACAAGAGTTAGGTTATTATGCAGACTTGAGTCCCTCCCTTCCACATTGATGAGAGTTTCTAGAGATAAGGTCATCCCTCCTTCCTGGTACAGAGAGGGAGACACCTTTACAGATGGAGATTTCCTTTACAATATAAATGCCTCTTAACAAAGGGTAAGTAAATTCTACTTTTCAGAGTTTCTTTCCTGTCTGCAGTTTTTAAAAGTAACCAGCCCAAAATAATCCTCATGCCAAAGAAACATATCTTGGGGTGGCCAATTCCAGTCCCCCACAATAGTAACCCAGTAAAATATTGGTACAAACTTGTCTGTAAAATCACTTGTGAATGGCTTATTTGCAATTCATCTTTATCAAGAATAAAGAGAAACAAAACTCAGTTTTCTTACCTGTAGCAGCTTACTAGAATCAAATATTATAGAGCTGGAATAGAACTTCATGATCATCTATGGGCGGAAACCCTTTGTTTTAAGGATAAAGAAGTGAGGCCCAGAGCAGCAGTTGTAAGCACAGACTGCACCCAGGGGTTTGAGTCCCAACTTGGTTACTAATGAACTAACCCATTCTTCTTCAAATTGCCCTGTGCTGCCTCCATTCAGATTCAAAGTGATACATTGTTTGGAGCATTTCATAATAGATTTGGGGAATCCTGGAAAGTGCCAGAATCTGAAGACCAAATATGCCTCATGTAAAATGAATAGTTATAAAGAATTGTGAAACCAATTTTATATAGAGTATTGTTTAATCAGTCTATGAACCATTAACTAAATGAAAGCTGAGTGTGTACAGCTGCGGAGTGAAACCTGCATCACGCACTACCCTACCTTGAGTAGTTAAACTAGTGGGCCTCTGAGAATGGGAACAGAAATCTAGTTTCATCAAACCTGAGCACTTTAGTTATCAGTAAATGTTCATTTAAAATTCATAGAAGCGTTTTGCCATTTCTCTTAACTCCCCATGCTTATCTTATTTCATGTTGATTGCATAAATTCTCCCTAATATTTGCTAATACTTCCAAACAGAAGTGAGAACTACCTGAGTGTCTAGATTTTGTTCTGTTGCTGTTCATCTTTGTTAATGCTTGCCATCATTTAATTAAGAACAGTGACACATCCACAGTTTCAGGGCCATTGATTGCACAGTAATTTGGCCTCTGGGATTCCTATCATTTTTTACTTCAACAATTTTTCATGTTCCAGGAAGGAATTACTTAGAACAAAAAACAGTTCGAAGTAATTTAGAGGAGAAAGAATGGAAATGGAATACTGTTTATAAGTAATTGAAAGGTCATTTTAATATTACCTGTTTGACACTTAAGCACCTTGGGTCCAAAAAATAAATGCCCTTGCTCTCCACAACTTTTCCTCCATTGTCCCCAAACTCAGTAAATGATACCATCACTTCTTCAGTTATTCAAGCCAAAAACCTAAGAATCATCCTTGATTCCGCTCTTTCCTTCGCATCTCACATCCAGTCACTGCTCCTGCAGCTTCTGCCTCCACCACCAGTATGAGCCCCATTTGAAATGGAAGCTTGTTATGTGCCAGGCATCCCGCTATGTGCTTTACATGCATTTTTGTTTAATCTTCACAATACCCTGTGAAATAAATACTATGAAATAAATATCCTCATTTTAAAGGTGAGGAAAACTGAACTTCAGAAAGGTCACATAGTTGCCTAAGGTCACGCAGCCATCCATCCTCACACCCGTCCTCACACCCTAGCGACTGGCTCCCCCCCAGGGCGAGTGATTCAAGAGAACAAGGCCATAGCTGCAGTGCCTCTTTTGATCTAGCCTCTGAAGTCAACACCCTCACTTCTGCAATGTTCTGTTGGTCACACAGTGTGGAGGGGTAAATATCAGGAGGTGATGATCATTGGGAGCCATCTTAGAAGCTGGCAACCACAGATGTTAATCAACGATTGGACTGAGGAAGAGTCAGAAGTACTGCTTAAAATGATTGCTACACAACTGATAGTTGATTGGGCCAGAATGCCTGGATAGGTGTAAGTTTTGCCATTTCTTCTTCTTTTTGATTTTTAGTGCTTTGTATTTTTCTTTAAATAGTGTAATTCATTTAACAAATATTTATTGGAGTGCTTATTATGTTTCTAGTAGCGTGTGGAGGTTAGAGAAGAAGTATATTAGCCACAAGCTAATTTAGGGTCTCTGAAAATTCAAGAGATTCCACAAGCAAGCCAAGAATTCAGATGAACTTGTGATGTGTGGTGCTCTATGAATTAGAAAAGGGAGGAAACAGTGAATCAAAGTAGTTCCGGAAGGAAAGCGAAGAGAATGCATGGTGAGCAACAGTTCTGTCCTGGGTACTGGCAGAGCATTTTATGTGTAAGAATCCTAGCGATGAGTGGCAGTAGTCCCTTTACGTGTGAGGAAATGGAGTCTCAAATAGGTTAAATAGCATGCCCAAGGTCACACACTAGTAAATTAAAGCACACATCTTTTTTTTTCAACTTCTGCCTTAGAAAGCAGAAATTACTGGTTTTTCTTGGGAGTCAGTAAAAGGTATCTTATGTTACTTAATGGTAAGTAAACTGGGGTCGAGTTTTGAATACTTTTAACTTTATTCAGACAGGGTTTCCTATTCTAGGCTCCGAGGTAGCAGAATTGACTGTGAAAGAAATAAAGCCCAATTTTTTTCTATCTTTGAAAACTTTGGGCTTCATTAAACTAATTTTTATGCCATCAATATCAGTATAAATTCTTTAAGTGACTTTGAGTTCCCTAATTGAAATATGAGGAAATTTTTATTTATATTTTTCTAAGCTACTAGGAAATATTGCAATTGGTAGAAAAGCATAGATATCAGAGCATACTGGATGAACAAATATAACTTGTCAGGTGTAAATTTCAGGAATTGCAAGTTCTCTGTAAAAGTGGCCCATCGACTTTTCTTACTCAGGTCACCGTTAGTTTTCTTTGTTCTCATTCATCTTTCCCATCCATCTCTTCTTCAAAGTTCTACTTCTGTTGTCCAAGTCCAAATGCTCTTGCCTAACAGTTCTAATTACTTCCTATTTCATCTGCCACATCCTGATCTCCTAAGCGTTCTGCTCTGCCCCTTATGTTTACTCCTTGAGGTGTTAGAGTAGTTCCCAAGAATATAAGTCCCACCTTGTGCTAAATTTCCTGCTTTTGAGATATTTGTGTGAGTATCAAGTGCAATTTTGACTCTGGTCTCGGAATTCATTTGGAGTGGTTCAGTAAGAATGGTTCTAAGGGCAGGCATATAGTAATTGTTTCGACAATTGATGGTGAGCTGTACATATACAATAGGGGTACATGAGAGCTTTCCTGACTCACACGGATTATTGGGGTTAGGATTAGGGTCCCTTATCAACTTCCCTCAGAGCCAGAACCCAGAGGACACAGGACAGCTCAGTCATACTTGAAACTTTGTGCTTCAACTAGACAGTTATTTTAGGCTATCCAAGCTAGTTTCTAAATTGGCTCCAGTTGGCCTTTGAAGTGCTCTCTCTGACCAGTTAGGAGCTCAGGGCATTGGGAGGTTGGTGTGCAAGATGAGAAGACATGCCTTATGTAGTCCCCATTAGAACATCACATTCAAAAGATAATTATTTCTCAAAAGAGGGGCAGTGGAACCCTTTATCTGGTTCGATGCACGCCCCAGGCAATGGTTACCTTTAGGAGGAGTGAGGCAGAGACCTGTTACTCAAAGCTGTGGTTTGTTTGAGGTTCTCTGAGCACCGTGCTCTCTTCAGGATGTGGTGTCTGGCCACAGCCCTGTCTCCAGCTGCACTGCTCAGGCCCTTGCCACCTACTATGAGCAGCTATAACCATGGCCCTCCCACTCTTACTTGGGGTGTGAAGAAAAACCTCTACTTGCTTGTAAGAGCTGATTTCTTAGCAAACCATGGGAGTATTTCCCTCAAGAACTATTTAAAAATTATAGTCAGAAATTCTAGTCCAAAGTTTGGAAATTTATAATAGCACAGAACAGTGCTTAGCTTTGTAAGAAAAGTCAATGACAATGTAAATGGACCTTCTTTTTGGTCTTCTGAGACCCAGTCTCCTACATGGGGGAGGGGCTCCCCACATCAACAAACAGTTCTCGAACACCAGCAGGGTGTCCAAGAATTCAACCTAATTCTGATGCTATCTACCCACAGATTCCACACGTTAAGGGTTAAGTCCTACAAGGCTGCCCCACACAGCCCAGGCTGCTTCCTGTGCTTCTGACCGACCAGCTACAGATTAGCTGTTGCTACGAACCCCTCCTCGGGTTTGATTAATTTGCTAGAGCGGCTCACAGAACTCACAGAAACATTTTACTTACTAGATTTTGTTGTTAGTGCCATTGAGTCAATTCCAACTCCTAGCAACCCTGTGTACAGCAGAGCTGAACCCTGCCCACTCTTTTTGCACCATCCTCTCACCTTCCAGTACTGTATCAGCCAGTGCCAATGCTCCGCTGCTATTCATACAATTTCATGGCAGATTTTTTCAGAAGTGAGTGGCCAGTTCCTTCTTCCTAGTCTGTCTAGTCTAGAAGCTCTGCTGAAACCTGTCTACCATGGGTGACCCTGCTGGTATTTGAAATCCCAGTATAAGCTTTCAGCATCACAGCAACTGCAGTATGACAACCAACAGACATGTGACATTATTACCTGACTGAGAAACAAACCTGGGCCGCAGCAGTGAGAGCGCTGAATCTTAACCACTGGACCATCAGGGCTGGCTTACTTACTAGATTAGCAGTTTCCTTTAAAAGGATATAGCTCAGGAACAGCCAGATGGAAGGCATGCATAGGGCAAGGTGTAGGGAAGGGGCACAA